CTAAACTGTTGAAAATTCCTCTTGAATTATCTTTATGTTGTCAGGAACTACTGTACACTATTTTAGTGCTATATAGTTTCCATTTTGTGATAAGTAAGTTTAAACATTAAAAACATCTTACCTTAATCTATACTTTAAAGTGTTATGTCAAGTCTCCATATAAATCTTTAATATACGTTACTACATACTTGCATGTATGAAAAAATAATTCTACTTGGAAAGTGTTTGGCACTTGTGATTCTTCTTTACAATCATATAAGTGAATTAAACTTTTGGGTGATACGGGGTTAGAGGAAAACATTATATACATTTCCAACATAATTTCGATAGTTTATGCTTTAAACAACACTGTCGAAAATGATGGGTAGCACCCCTTTAATGATAATAACAGCGTACGTCAAGGACGCCGGGATTCGACCGAATGCTCAATTTATACGGGTTAGCAGGGCATGAGAGTGCAAGTATTCTTAAAAATACTTTCGGATGAGCGGAGCGTTTTCTGCATCAACGACCATACGATGTCCTTGATTTTTGACACAAAATGTCAAAAGGTTTCACCTGAATACATGCGACCTGACTCGTAGCGACCTCGTGTCATAATGTAAAATAAAACCAACCGTTCTATCTTTGGAGCGTCTGCGTTCCAGAGCCTGCATGTGGTTCCATGTCTGTCTGAGATTAAGGTAGAATGACTCGCGTGATGTTGTTCATATGTTCACGTATAATACTGCTGGCGAATCATTCGTCTGTAAAACACACATAGCTTTACCTTATATATGGCATGTGTATAACATTTTTCAATGCAACTCTCTGAACTGTATTTGTGAATTAAAAGTCCATTTTATAAAAGAATGAAAAATAAAAGAGCATATGATATTGATTTCGTTTCTGTGTATACTTTGATGTTATTTTACTCTCAGTCTACAACTTACTGATCGGCTGGTAGTGTTCGTAAAATCATTACAATGTACGTTACACAGATGATGGCGAATATAACGACTTATTTTGTTATAGTCTTAACTGAAAAAAGTTAGCACTGATAATACAAAGTGCAGCTCAAGATCGATGAAATGACCATGCTCCGTTGGCTGGATGTAATCAATGTTATTGCTTAAGGTACAAAGAATTGGTCTGCGTTCTTTCACAAAAGCTTCCTTTTACTCTTTTTCTGATATGATTTACGCACGAAAGTATTAATATCTATATTCATGTTTTTTGTTTATTGATTTATGCATATTTTATGACCACAAGGAAAAGCAATAGGATTGGGCTCAAGTTGTATCAACGCTGTCAACGTTCTTTCCCAAAACAAGTATACATTTCAACATTTGATAAACACAATTGAAAAGTCAACTTTGAAATTAAGATAAAAATATATTACAATCTGTTTTTATAAAGCATGATCACGTAATATTTTTTTCTGGTTTTCTAACATTGCCACTTTCTGTTAGTTGTTCACTGACGTGCTACGCCTAAATGAAATGATGTGTGAACCCAAATGAAATGATGTGTGACACACCCAAATGAAATGATGTGTGACACACCCAAATGAAATGACGTGTTCTGTAATCACGGTCGTTGCTCAGAAAGCTAAAATACTTCCGATTCGTAGTCTTTACAGCAGGAACATTAATTGTGCACGTAATCTTTTATACCGCATACAGGGCATTTTCTGGTGTCACTTTACACCCAACTCTCTCTCTCTCTCTTTCTCTCTCTCTCTCTCTCTCTCCCCCCCCCTCCCTCCCTCTCTCTCTCTCTCTCTCTCTCTCTCTCTCTCTCTCTCTCTCTCTCTCTCTCTCTCTCTCTCTCTCTCTCTCTGTTCTCGAATCCAATGCTATGTTGGTTATCGATGTTGATAACAATCTTTGGTCGGTAGCGTAGAAATAGAATGACAATACTATTACTGGATACAATTTCATGTTACAAAACATTGATTAGTTTCTAATGATGACGGTTGAACTGTCATCAAATATATCTTTACAATATGATCGTTAAGTATAAGCAAAAAACAAAAAACCATCTCACGTCTCAATGACTACCTTAGTAGTAAGCAGACTCTTTATGCGTATCACATGAACAGTCTGGTCCGTCTGTAACACTTCTACTGAGTCGTGACAAAATGCCTCCTTTTACAACCAGTCGCGGATGGAACTGACGTTTTGTTTTACTCATTTTTTGGCTCCTTTACTTTTGAATTACTCTTAAGTACGCATGCCAACATTGATTTGCAAAGAGTATATAAAAGCGTTATGCCGTCTACTAATTTGTCTCCTGAACATATGTTGACAAACTTAACATTGGGTCATTCCTATAGAGTTGTTATATATATTGAATACCGTTGTTATTCCTTTACTAGTTATTTTCTACACTTTTCTATAGTGAATAATGTCTGAAATTCCAGACACCCTCATGGACAGATTTCGTTTTCTTACATATCAACAGAAGTAGGTATTAAAAAACATTTGTAAACTAGATTTTCGGTCAACATGTGTTATGTTGAACCCTCCAACAGTTAAGTCCCCTGGTTCAACATAACACATGTTGACCTCAAACCCAGTCAAAAATGTATGTCTTTTTTTTAAATATCAAGCGAGTTTAACTGGTAATCTGAAAATTCACCCAATTAATATCAAAGAAGTATTTATGTGATTACATCCGCATTTATTGTTTTTTGAAATGACACATTTGGGCTCATATATGATAAATTAGATAACGGGAAACATTACGTTAATATAGGTATTATCCAATCATATATATTTTTATAAAAAAATAATCTATTTGTAGAACATTGTTGAATTCGTATATTTGGGTCCATTTGATAAACGCTACCTCCTTGGATGGTAGGGTTTATTTTTTACCTCCTTGCCAATGTCATATGTGTGCACGTAATCCGAACTCGTGAAAAGTTCCTACACAAATACATAACTATATAATGATAATATAATATCATATAGTGTTAAAAGGAACCGAAGACTGTATGCATTGATAACACAGCAAAAATACCGATATATTAACTCATTTCTGATTCCAACTCAAAACCGAAGAAACGAAGGTAAGACGTAGACATAAGAAAATGATATCCTCGATGACCCATGGAAAATACAAGGAGAAAAAGACCAGGTGTTCCAGATGGGTAGTCATCCGTGTGGGTTCACGATGACTTTTTCAAATAGTGTACCATTACTGACACAAACGCATAAAACCGTACAATAATACGTAATATTGTTGAAGATAATGAGAGGCAGAGACTGAAATCGCTTAAAACTCTGAGATTTGAAACTATTATCGATTTGTCCATGTTTGAAGTATGCCTTTAGATATGTGTAGGATGTTGAAAGTATGTATTAGATATGATTTTGTTCTGCTTATAGTTTTTGTGGTGATGAATTGGCGAACTATTGTGAACCGTGCTAATGATGGTTATGTAAGCTGCTTTTATCACAAAATGGAACTTTGTAAATGATTCTCCATGGTAACTGGAATACTGAGGAGTTTGAATGTAAATTTGGTGGCCATCAATGGTACTTTTTATAGAGCCTTTCCTACTTTAAGTAAAATGATGTTAAATGCCATCGCGTGGAATCATCATGTGCGAATTTTCAAAGCATGACTTTCTCCTAAATGGTGATATAGACCAGTTTAAGTAAATTGTGCATGTTGTAGAACCTATGCCAAGGTGAAGGCTTAATGCATTTCATTTCTGTCATAAAATGATTAAGGAAACGTTCAGTAGGTTGTGATTATACTTTGCATGTTATTTCATATTGTTACAATGTATACTGTATTGGTCAAACTGAATAGTGGCGAACATCACAATACAAACAACGCCCCGTGTTGTTTATGACATTAGTTCCGACTAATCTGAATGTACTTCTGTCGCATCCTAGATTTCTACCATTTGACACATTTTTTATCAACGAGCCTTCCAATAGTTTTTTTTTTATACGGAAACAATTTAAGTCATTTATCATCCTTAACAATAGAAGCACAGTAGTTGAATACAATCTACGAATATACAAACCACAACAAAAGATTGTAATTAGGAATAAAAAAATAAAATATAAATACGGAATCGTCATATTTGAAATAGATCATGCCTTTCAATTCGCAACATCACATGTAAAATTTACCCCCCCCCCATTGTTAACTTATTTCGCAACAATCATTAAAGAAATTCATTTCGCCGACCGTTTTAAAAATACACGAATGAATTATTTATAAAGTGAAAATTTATGAAACCTTTCGTTTTAAACAGCATGGCACAACTTCAGGAGTATTTGAACAATATTTGATCGGTCATTGTAATTACATCGTGCTTTTGTAGGCAACACATCAAAACCAAAGTCATAAAACCAATAACATAAAACAATTATCAATATTCTTAATTTTGATTTTTGATTTTCTGAAGGGTCAGTTTACATAATTTCAATGATCATTTTGAATGCATCGTAACATGAAAACGCACTATTGACTATAAATAAACTGATCTGGTCCGCTAAGGGCTATATTGCATGGTGACCTCGATTGCGGTTGATCTATCCGTTGTTGGTTATATATCACTATAATACTAAACCGCCTGTGGTATTCTTTATTGATTCGCCTTGAAAATCCTTGTGGTGCACTTGTTTATATACATGACTTTGTATCCCTGTGCAAACGTGAGAGTGGATTAATATAGTGCATTTGCACTGAAAATCGTAAAACAATTGAAAGTCGGGTGCAACCAAAGTCAACAAATCAAAACAGGGGGATATAAAACAATTCTGCAAGAAGTTCTAAAATTATGTAAAGCATGTTAATACAGCCGTTAGATTACAGTATGTTTGTAGTCGCGAACAAAAAATGTCATCAATGTGTTTTATCAAAACATAAATATCAACAACAACATACTCCTTATTTCTAATCCTCTATTTTTTAAAAAATTCAAACGATGTCACAGTGGGGCGGTTAAAGTATTTAAGAGAATATAGATAATGTAATTTTAAAAAAAAGCTTACCTGTGCTGTAGACATCAAAGTTAAACACACCTGTACCGCAAGAAGCACTTCTGTCTTTCGAGAGGAAGGCCTTGTGTGTGACGCGCAGAACATAATAAAAAGCTAAACGTATTTCATATATAGATATCAACAGGTTGAGTCTGTGTTACACAGGTACCCTCGTAATGGTCTGTTGTGTGCACTGATAAAAGCCCCATTGGTTGTATAGTGCTAAGGGCCTATGGGATAGGGTATTTATACCGCTGGATTCGGTACGCTATTTCATTTATTAACATAAAGGTCGGTTAATAAACGTCAGAACAGACTATTAGCGCTGTTTCGTGTGCCCTCTACGTCAAACCGATACTCTTGCCTTCAATTGGTCCAACTATATAATTGTAAATAAGCATATCTATTCATACCCATAAAATAACTACGAGGACGTGCGTGACTCGATCTGTTCTAGCACACTGCGTATATCACAGGAGAAAAATAACCGATAGCATGGTACTTGTTATTATACTGCCAAGCTTGTCCAGAGTACGGCCAATATCGTGGTATACAGCATAGCTTCACTACTACACAATGATACCGAAATAAGACAATGCAATTCGACAGTTTGTTAGTATGGTCAGATGTGATTCAGAATTTATTATAGAAGTGGTGTTGGTGCATCGTAAAACTTAATTACAAATGTACATGTATCAGTATAGAAGCAGACCTTGTGTGACTAAAATTACAGTTTCAAGAAACTTTCATTTTGACATTTTATGTTGTAAATGCAATGTTGTTGCAATATCTTTAATTAGAATATGTCATTGCTTTTAAATGCACTAATGGTATTCTACATGTCATTTTCAACTTAAGTTTTGTAACATAGATGTCAATCGTATTTGGGAAGCAACATTGGAATAAGCTTCACAATGAACTCAAGATAGGAAAATAAATAAATAAATAAATAAATAAATAATAAACAAAGATGTTTCTTCCGAGGATAAAATAGATTAAAACCAAGAAAGTTACGGAAGAGAAAGTGTGTACTGCTTTTCAACAACACTCGTCAATCCAAGAAGTAGGTAATGACACGTTCGTAAATTAAAAACAACATACACAACAACAATACACTCCTAAAATAACGAGAAAATACCAATTAGTAAACATAATCCTAATCCAAACTCAAATTCAGTAAATTATAAGCAAAAGAAAAATTGACATGGGGACTGCTGAAGAAGCACAGGTGTTCTGGAAGAGTAATCGTCTTCTGCTTCATCGATGACACCCGCCATGTAAATCTTGGTTAATCCAATCAAACTCCCAAATAACAACAAGGAATACAACAGTGAAACCGACAGGCAAACTCACGAGCATCAAACACGCCCAGTATTTCTCAATGATATCATTATTACGACCATAAAACGTCCACATATTCTTCATCAACCTGTATCTGATGAAAACCCTTTTCTATGAGTTTGTCTCTCGGTTGACGACTTCTTGCACAAAAATCGTGATAATTGGAACATGCCCTTACATAGACGTCAACTGAAAAAAACACACGTCAAAATATTAGCCTTAATTAGAGAGAATAAAACAGACACATAACAGTCAAATAATACACTAAACTGCTCCTCACAACTAATTCAATCTTTCCAGGAGTTATTTATGCCTATAATATAAGGTATTGAAATCAAAAGGGGCACAAAAAAGTAAAGAAATAGATGAAAATGTGCACTTACGGCGTAATTATCAACATATGATTAAAAAAAGACAAATTTTTAATCATTCAATAATTTGTATATGAATATGAGGAAAACTGAGATGTAGATAACAAAAGAGAATGGTTAATCTAGGAGACAACTAACATGATATGTGACCTGATATCGAACAGCATGATGGAATAAGAACTGATGCTATATGTACATAGCTTAACACATTGTAATGGTCTTGTGGAGAGTATACCTGGAGATAATAGATGTAACTTTTAAGCATGTACAGAAAAACATTTACCAAATCTGTTTTCGTCCTCATATAAAACAGTTTTATTCTGACCTGAAATGATAATAGCTTTTAAATCAGCTTTGATTTACACTTATTTACTTTTTTTTTAATAATAGTGACAAAACAAAAGAGTACACATAGACAAAAATTAAACTTCAACGAACGTGTTCACTGACTTTATACTTTAATTTCTTTACGTCTGCTTTATCAAATTTAATATTTCTGAAAGAGAAGACTAAAAAAACTTTTTGAAATTTACATCTACATGATAAAATCACCCAGGAGCGATCCATTTAACTCTCTCACTCTTAAACTACCACTAAAAGGGGAGATAGATTTTAGAGAACACCCACGACAACTTGTTTTTTTTATACATGTATATCTGAATATGTATTAGTCCTAAATTCAATGGTGAGTAATATGTCTTTGATGGAAATTCATTTTTCCATTAATTTTTGAAGCAATAAAGGCGTGTGTTATCATTGTTACAGTGGCATAGTAATAAGATAGCAGAGTAGACCGGGGTGTTATTGTCACGATACCGCAACAGGTCAACCTATTATCAAAGAGATGGAAATCTCCGTTGGGTCAACCTCTATAGAAAAATCCTACCTTTGAAACATAATACTTTTACACCTATTTACGCAAAAAAGGGACTTCATGTTCTGTAATATAAGTTAGGATTGTTTCGATGTTATCAAAAGGAAGAACCCTGAAGATTTGCACTATCTCCGTACACTCCTGTATGTATCAATTATTTTACTTTACACTTGCGGCTATGTAACAAAATATAACTAAGATAAACATGTACCAGCTTGAACTGAAAATTCAAGAAATCAGAACTCAAATTAATAAAAAGTCAGCATCAAGATCTGAGGAAACTGTAGTACACATAGAAATACACAAGAACAACAATCAGAATAGTTGATAATTCAGAATAACTATTGACTACGAGATCCATTATAACATACATGTAGAACGACAATATGACTGGGAGAGGCATCATGACGACAAAATGACTGGGAGAGGCATCATGACGATAAGATGACAAGGAGAGGCATCAGTACGGCAAAAGGATTGGGAGAGGCATCAGGACGACAAAATGACTGGGAGAGGCATCAGGACGACAAAATGACTGGGAGAGGCATCAGGACGACAAAATGACTAGGAGAGGCATCAGGAAGACAAAATGAATTGGAGAGGCATCAGGACGGCAAAATGACTGGGAGAGGCATCAGGACGACAAAATGACTGGGAGAGGCATCAGGACGACAAAAAGACTTGAAGAGGCATCAGAACCACAAAATGACTTGAAGAGGCATCAGTACGGCAAAAGGACTGGGAGAGGCATCAGGACGACAAAATGACTGGGAGATTCATCAGGACGACAAAATGACTGGGAGATTCATCAGGACGACAAAATGACTTGAAGAGGCATCAGAACCACAAAATGACTGGAAGACGCATCAGGACGACAAAATGACTGAGAGATTCATCAGGACGACAAAATGACTTGAAAAGGCATCAGAACCACAAAAGGACTGGGAGATTCATCAGGACGACAAAATGACTTGAAGAGGCATCAGAACCACAAAATGACTGGAAGACGCATCAGGACGACAAAATGACTGGGAGATTCATCAGGACGACAAAATGACTTGAAGAGGCATCAGAACCACAAAAGGACTGGGAGAGGCATCAGGACGACAAAATGACTGGGAGAGGCATCAGGACGACAAAATGACTGGGAGATTCATCAGGAAGACAAAATGACTTGAAGAGGCATCAGTACGGCAAAATGACTGGGAGAGGCATCAGGACGACAAAATGACTGGGAGAGGCATCAGAACCACAAAATGACTGGGAGACGCATCAGGACGACAAAATGACTTGGAGATTCATCAGGACGACAAAATGACTGGGAGAGGCATCAGAACCACAAAATGACTGGGAGACGCATCAGGACGACAAAATGAATTGGAGAGGCATCAGGACGACAAAATGACTGGGAGAGGCATCAGAACCACAAAATGACTGGGAGACGCATCAGGACGACAAAATGAATTGGAGAGCCATCAGGACGACAAAATGACTGGGAGAGGCATGAGGACGACAAAATGACTGGGAGAGGCATGAGGACGACAAAATGAATTGGAGAGGCATCAGGACGGCAAAATGACTGGGAGAGGCATCAAGAAGACAAAATGACTGGGAGAGGCATGAGGACGACAAAATGACTGGAAGAGGCATCAGGACGACAAATGATTGTTTGAGGCATCACGACGACAAAAGGACTGGGAGAGACATCAGGATGACAAAATGAACGAGAGGCATCAGGACAACAAATGACTGGGAGAGCCATCAGGACGACAAAATGATTGTTAGAGGCATCGTGACGAGAAATGACCGGGTGGCATTTTGACAACAAATGATTGTTAGAGGCATCACGACGACAAAATGATTGTTAGAGGCATCGTCACGAGAAAATGACCGGGAGAGGCATTATGACGAAAATATGACTAGGAGATATATCAGGAAGACAAAATAACTGGGAGAGGCATCAGGACGACAAATGATTGTTAGAGGCATCGTGACGAGAAAATGACCGGGAGAGGCATTATGACGACAAAATGACTAGGAGATGTATCAGGAAGACAAAATGACTGGGAGAGGCATCAGGACGACAAAATTATTGTTAGATGCGTCAGAAGGACAAAATGAACGGAGACATTATAATAACGAAATGAACGAGAGGAGAAGCATTAGAATGAAACCACACAAAAATGATTACTTGCTAAAACAGAATGGTATATGTATCCAGAACTCGTAGTAAAGATATACGTGACGTTATTGATTATAATTATGTCATGTCTACCTAAACACCTCTAATTATCTCGTTTCTCCCGTATCTCCCCAGACACCTCAAGTAAACACGTGTCTCTCGAAACGGCCTTTAGTAAGTCCTGTCACTAAAACAAAACTCTACTTACTTCAAGTCTCTCTAGACACCCCTTGGTAGCTCGTGTCTTAGCTAAGCTCATGTCTCTCTAGACACCCCTTGGTAGCTCGTGTCTTAGCTAAGCTCATGTCTCTCTAGACACTCCTTGGTAGCTCGTGTC